AGCGAACGCCGCAGTGACCGCTGCTGCGTAACGTCCACAGCTGCACGAAACCAGCCAGACGCCCACTCACACATACGGCGCCGTCACTGCCCAGAAAATATGTTCGTAAACCGCCTGGATGTACGAAATCTCGCCCAATTTGAACCAAAGTCTATTGATCTCTTAGGCCATCAATCTAAGTAAAAAAACATTTTCTACTCATAGACGCCCGTCCTAAACCGCCAAATTGGGAAACATCCCAACCTGGCAACAATGCACGGAAGACGGGGAAACGTTAGCCATCAGATGCAAAACTCCATCATGCACCGCAACATATTTTTGCAAAATATTCTGACATAAATTTGGCAAATATAAAAGGAACATCATATGTTGGTTTAAAAAAAGCATTTTAGTTTTATTATAATTTAGTTTGTTGCAAAGATTTTCAGAGGTGTCAAGTAACCAAGTACAAATACTTAATTACACTTTTTAGGTGTCTATACTTTACTCCATCACTTATTTTTCCTCCTACTTCTGTTTTCTACTCATTACATTTTCACGCAAGTATCTGTACTTTCTATTCCTTACATTTTTTAAACAATCGTTACTCGTTACTCTTGGCTTCGGGTTTAATGCAGAGGTCACGGATTAGCGGACCGTGGTCCGGTGTTATGCCGAAAAGTGCATCCCTGCCGAGATATGCATCCCAAGTACGGGTGTTTGGTACAACATTAAATCCAAAGATTTTGTCCGAGGTATGGCTAAATTAATTTTTTGTCGTCTGTTGTTATTCACACACAACAATAAACAGTGATGCCGACGTTAGTTTGGGAACTGCAAAGCTTTGTCTTCAGCAGAAAATCAAACACGAATTCTACACAGACCAGCGTTTACAGACCAGTGTGATGCCGTCCTGCTTAACTTCAAACTGTATATATATGAATATAAAACAATGAATAAATGGTGCACATTTTTGGTGCAACAGCAAGCTTGTGCAAACTTGTAAACATATTTGTGCCGTGAATGCAAAGACTGTAGGCTACAGTTGGAAAACCGAAATAAAAATAATTTGCTAAATGCCAGATTATGTGGTGACTTTTTCCACTTGTATTTCCTCTGAGCTCTTGCAGCAGTGAGGGGTTGTATGTCGTTGAGTGCTGCAGAGTAAAGCAGCGTCAGCATTTAAATTAGGGATGCACGATATTGGGATTTTGGCCGATATCCGATATGCCGATACTTTAAAACTCATGTAGCCGATAACCGATATCGATACCGATGTTAAA